AATTTAGCAATTAAACTTACCACTTCTTTAAAAGAAATTTAGGTTGCAATTAGTGATAATTTTAATTATAATTTAAACTTAAATTTGAATGTAGAAAGTGAAATAAAATTTTTGAAACTCAAATCGGATATTGTCACTCAAAAAACACTATAAGATCAAATGAATAAGTAAGGAACAGACTTAACAATTGAAGAGTCTTTTATGATTTAATTTGATATTGCTTCATTTATTGATCCAGATTAAATTCCTCTATCTTATTAATTCTAATAGTAAATAAGTGGTTAATTTGTGCCTATATCTTCAGATTCATTTATCAAATGTGATAATGTCAACCTTCGCTTAGTAGGTAGTCCTCCTTCTAGCTACTTATTTTAAACAATCTATTTGAGACTATAAGTAACGAATGGTTATACAATAAAATATGATTATTTTTATATTAACATAAACAAAATGCCTTTTAGCTATGTTTTGAATATACTAATTTAAGTGCTTGGTCCTCTAGCTTTTGCCTTTGGTTTGTATAAAAAAAGAGCATCTTTTATGAATCTTTATTTTAAAAATCAAACTATGTACTCTACAGAAACAGCCTATGTGAATTAAATCTACAGGAAAAAAATACTTATTTTAGATCAAGATTATGAAATCGCTTATTTATTTTTATAGAAATTTCTGAAGTAATCATGTAAAAATTTGAATTAAGGTACAAATAAATTAAAAAAGTCTATTTTGAATCTTGAAAGTGTAAAGAGTGAAAAAATAATAAATGTTTAGCAAAATATTTAAATTGAAGAAAAATATAAATAAGTAGAAGGAGATTTATGCAAAGTAGCTTAATAGAAAGAATAATCAGAAACGCCATAAAATAATAGTAATATTTTAAATAAAAATAGACAATTTGTAATTAATAATTCAGTAAATTAAGATGAATCAATTAGCTACAGTAAGAAGTAAATAAATGAAACAGCCTAATCTTAATTTAGCTCACAGTTTATTTAAAAGGAAAAATAAAGTAAATAAAACGGCAAAATGCAAAAATAGTCAAAATTAAAAAAGATGTTTAAGGATAAGTATGACAGAAGATTTAGTATTTAATTATAAGAGATTGAACAGAAAAAACAAACAACAGAGCAAGTTTCATAAAGTGGCAATTTTAGAAATGCAGAGAATAAAAACAATCTATTAAATAAATATACAATTTAAGCAGAAGATGGCACATTCTAAATGAGCAATTTATTTAATCAAATGGTTGAATAAAAATTAATAATTTAGTATGAATTATTGGACTATAAAATAGAAGATTACACTTTAGATTTAGAAAACGAAGACTCAAGATTTTATTAATGTCTAAAAGCAAATGTTTTAAGATACTTATTGGATAATGAAAAGAAAACTCTCAGACTTTACTAATTTCTTAAAAAATATTCTTTAGAAACTTGTAACTACCTATAAAATGACTGGTATAAATAATATGTCCAAATTACAGCCACAAATGACTTAGATCAATATGGTGTTCATGTACCCTTTTCAAAAACTACATTAATAGAAGATGAGATTTTTAAAGTTGTAAAAGACCTTGAAATTATTCCTAAAAACTTAGATCTAGAGAACTATAAGCTTAGCTATCTCTAATCAATTGATATCAATCCTTACTTGCTTAAGGAGGGTAATATTACAAATTCTTTATTATTTTTATTGAAAATAAAACACTTTTAAAACATAAATTTGTACTTTTAAAAACATATTTAAAAATTTAATAATTTTATCTATTTTTTTATTAAACTTTGAATTAATTCTGATAATAAAAATAAAATATTTATTTAATAAAGTTTTGTTTGCTGATGCTCTTGGATTAAATTTCATAAGCTCAAAATCAATCATAAAATGCTGTGGAGAGTCTATTCATTTGGAGAAAAACTAAGTTGTTTCAGTGGAGGCATTTGAGAAAATATAAGATGGTGTTTGTCTATGCTTAAGGAAACTATTTAATTTATAATACAAAACTCTTCCAATATCTAAGTACATTTCTCTACCTAGTTGGATGTCTTATGAATTTAAAAATGGTGTTATAATTTTGGAGGGCATTCCTACAAAATCTGATGTTAATAACTTTTTAATTAGAGTTTACAACTAAACACGATTTGTATCCTACTAATTTCATTTGAATGTAGTTGGAGACTCTAAGCCTAGAGATGATATAGAAGTTCCTTAATTAGAAAATTAAATAAAAGAAAGTAATTTTATTAAAGAAAGTGATGCCAGAAAACAAATGTAATGTTAATAAGAAAATATGGAATAAATTTAACTAGGAAATAATATCATAAATAACTCTAAAAAAAGTTAACTTTAAATGCCTTTAAGAAAATAATAAAATATTGTTGATCTCTTTTCCATTAAAAATTCACCAAACTAAACATAAAATTTATTAAAAAACGAATAAGAAGAAAATGTAGATGAAATAGAAGAAAAAGCTTACACGGGAATAAGATCGATGACTGAGTATGATTAAGAATTAACATCTCCTCCTATTTTTCCTCTAGGTCTAGGTATTATGCCAAACACTCCTTTATCAAGTTTTAAATTAAATGCATAAATACCCAATTTTTAATTATAAGAGTAATTTGATAAGTAAAAGGATTTTGAAAGAGTTGATTTATAATCTAAATTTTAATATGAAAAATAATTAAACAAGGAGCTTTATGATTATAAAGATCAACAAAAAATAAATAAATAAAAATCAAATTAAAATTAGAATTGAAAAAAAAAAATATATAATTTTTTTAATTAATCTATGAATTTTTTTGGGATTATTCTTAATAAATATTAATAAGCATTTTATTTATGATTTTTGTAATTCTTATAGATTTATATTCAAAGAGTTTTTTTAAAAAATATTTTTCGTTTAAAAAGTGTAAATTTCTTTACTTATATTCAATACTTTAATTTATATTATTATAACAATTTGTTATTTTTAAACTATTTGATTGCTTGTTAATGATTGATGAAGTAAGTATTTTTTGAATGAAAAAAAATAAGTTAAAAAATTTGTTATAGAATTAATTATAAAAGTAAAAATTTTGATAAATTATTTTTTAATATATCTTAAATAGTGTGTTTATTTAAATTTTTTTTTTTAAATGTAAATTTTAGAACCTATTCCTATTTATAATATTGTAAAATAAAAATCTATGAAAAATTAAAAATATAATTATTAAATTATATATATATAAATTATAAAACTAATATTTTATAATAAAAAGTATGATAAAATTATTTAATTAATTATCAATTTTATTTAATCCAGGAATTTAATTCTTAATTCTCCACTTCAATTAATTTATTAAATACTGGAAGTGCTATAATTAAATCATTCTAAAGAATAAGAATTGATATAAAAATTAAATTAAATATTATTAAAAAATGAATAAATATAAATTACAAATAAAAAGACTAATTTTTCCTCTAAATTTTATATTCATTCTAGAAGGAAACAAAATTAAAATATTTTTTTTATTTTTAACTTTTGATTGAAATTTGTATTTTTTTATCAAAAATAAATAAATTAAAATAGAATAAAAACTAATTAATTTGTAAATTTTAATTGAAAATAGTTTTGTTTGCTGATAAACTCGGATTAATTTTTATTAGTTCAAAAAATATCTTAAAATACTGTATAGAATCTATTCATTTGAAGAAAAATTAATTTGTTTATATGGTTAGTATTAAATTGATTTTGTATATAAAATAATTTATTATTTTTTTAAATATTTAAAATTTTCTTTAATTATGATAATAGCTATAATAAAATAGAAGAAAAATTCACTAAGAAATAAAATCCATAGCTGAATATGAGTAAGATTTAGTTTCTCCTCCCATTTTTATGCACAGATCTAGTCGTGTAAAAAAGAATCCTATACAGAATCTTAAACTAAATAGCCTCATATCATCTATTTAAAATAAATATTTTTAAATAGATAAAATTAATAGGATTATGAAAGAGATTAACTCAGTTAATCAAAATCTTTATAAAACTAATAATTAAATAAAGAAGAAATTGATAATATTTCTAAACACAGTAAAAACAAAAATTAGCAATGAAAAACTTTACAAATAATTTAAAAAATATTATTTATTTCATTAATTGTTTTTATATTTATTTCATAAAATAATTTTAGAAAAGAATTTAATTTTTAATAAGTTTAAATCAATTTTACTTATAGGTTAATTACTTGGATTAATTAACTTTTTTAAAAAAATCTTTATAAAATTTAAGCAATAAAAATAATTTATTTTATTATTTTATAAAATTATATTTAAGAAATTATTATAAAATGAATATTTAATGAAATTATTCTCATAAGGTAGAACAATTATTTATTTATTACAAAATAGATAATTTATTTAGTAATTAAAAAAAAATAATTTAAACAATTTAATTAATTTTTATTATATTGGAATGAGAGTGAATTTCTTATTTATTTAATTCATTTTTACTTATGTCTTTGGATAAAACCAATAAGTAGGATTTGTTTATAATTCAATTCCTTACAAATCTTTTGATGTTCATAGCAGTAATGGAACTTCAAGTAGGATAAAGGTATCTTAATAAACTGGAATAGCAATTGTTGCTATTGGTAATGCTGGAATCATGATAATTGACAATAAATTTAACACAAATATTCATTAATCTCCTGATAAAAGCTATATTTAATGTGTTTAAATATCAAAAAATGGCTAGTATATCTTTCTAGGAATGGTTGGATAAGTAGGCATCTTCTAATTAGACTAAATTGACTTTAATATTAAGATGATTAATACAATTAATGTATAAAATATGACCATAGTAGACATTTAATTTAATTTAGAAGAAGAAATCATGTTTGTTGTTGGTTATTTAGGTATTTTACAATGGTACGACTCGAGGAACATAACAAATCTTATATAACTTGGGATTATAGATTATTCTTAAGATTAAATGCTCTTTAATCGAGGAGCAATGCCTCCTGATGATCGATTTTTTTACGTTGCTGCTGATTCCGAAGGAATGATGGTCTTCAGAATAGATAAGTCTCTGCAAAATAATCAGCTCTAAGTCAATTTAACAAAGATTTTAACTAAACAAGCAGTCTCAAGCTTTACAGAATTAGTAGTTACAAGCAAAAACAATTATGTCTTCGCTATTGATAGATGGAATGGCATTTAATTTTTCTATGACTTGAGTTAGCTCATTCTCTATGGAGATGATGTAGAAAATCAAAACAACTGTAATCCTGCAAATTCAACAAAAAAACTAAAAATCTTCATTAATCCAATTCAAATAAGAAAAAAAATTCAATTTTATATTTTTTTTAATTCTAAAAATAAAATAATTTTTTAAAAATGTATTGAAAAGAATATTTTTTTAGCTATTTATCTACTTATTTAAATTAGTAGAATTATTAAAGTAAATGAAACAATAATTCAATTTAATCAAATTTATTACTAAGAATTTATTAATTTTGAATCAAAATAGTGTTTAAATTGGTTGCTGTTTGAATTAATACATAAAAATTTTTTAATAAACTAAAAGAAAATTGATTATTTAATTTGATAAACTGCTATTTCTATTATAAATGTTTTTCATTTTATTTGAAAAGAATTAATTAAAATGGCGCCTTTTAATCTAGGAAATAACATAGGATACACTTCTTCTATAGGTTTGAGTTTAGATGACCAATTTTTATATGTAGGAGCGAGATCTTTGGGTATATTAATATATAATATCTAAGATCCTTTGAATCCACAATTCTTTTAGTAGCTTTAGTTAGCTGGATAGTCTTATTCTATAGCATTATCTCCTAAAAAAACTGTGATTTCTAACACAACTTTTGATAATCAATTTATTTACTATTCTAATTCTTTATCAGTGGCTATTTATTAAAAATAGGAACCTTCCCTTTTTAACAATATTCCAAATTTATTCAATGCTTAGCAATCACAATTTTTTATTGAAGGAACTTCAATTACTAAGTGGAGATGTGCTATTTCTTCAAATAACAAATACTTGTTAGGAGCTTTAGATGCAGATGGTCTTTCAATTTTTGAAATAAAAGTCAATTCTTACACAAAATCAACTCCATCGACAATGCAGATCTAATATTAATTTTCTGATTCATAATAGTAAATTTTAAGGACAAATTCATTTAGAGTATTTGGGCCAGATGAATCAATTCCCTTAGGATTTTATGCTGATAATATTTATTTCTCTAAGGATGGTTAATATATTTACTTTGCTACAGAGTAACCCACTTTCAATGTAATAGCCTATAAGTTTAAAGTTATTATATCTCCAGATGGAGAGTATACTTTTGAATATGTTAAAGGGCTACACTACGATTAAGTCTACTATTGTGAAGAGATGAATTTCAGTGAAGATGAGTAGCATGCTATAATGTCCTTTGACGTTGGAATACTTTTAGTAGATATGATTAAATTTGAGGTAATTTCAATGTACAATAATTAAGGTGTTATTGGAACTTGTTGTGGAGCAGTTTTATCTCATGATAAGAAACATGCTCTTGCAGTTGTCAGAAATGTTGGACTTTTTATTTACGACACTTCTGATATGGCTAATATAAAAATGGTAAATTAATGGAGGACAAATGGTGGTGAAACATTATTGCGCTCTTAAGTAAATTAAATAATCTACTTTTTGGATGGATTTAATGGTATTATTTTGCTAGATTCCACTAAGTTACCTGAAATAGTAGTTATTGGTAGTTATATCTCCTCTGGTTGGACAAATTTTATTTCTTTTACAAATGATGAAAGATATGGAATAATTTCTACAATGGACTCTGGTACTTTAACCTTGATAGATCTAACAGATAAATCTAACCTAAGAGTAATTATGAAATCTACCATATAATCTTAAAATTCAGTAACGACTTGTGTAGGTAAAAAAATTATTTATTTTTAATCTATTTTTTTTTAAGACAAACATATGTTAAAATTTCTTTTAATTTAATACTCATTATTATAGTATATCAAACATTAAAAAGGCATTTAACTCTATTTATTCTTATTTATTTTTATTATTAAATATTCAGATAAAACAGGGCTCTCATTCTTATTTTCGATAAATTAGCATTTTTTCCGACTTTATAATTTGTAAAGCTAAATATAAATTCATGTTGAGAGAGAAGTGTAATCTATTTCAACATTAGAATATACTTCTATTTCAGATATTGAACCATTTTAAGTTGGATTACAATACCTAGTTAGATTTGTTGTTCTGTACAGATAGCCTAACTAAGTAATTAGCTAGATTTACTACTATTAAAATTTAGTTCTTTAAAATTTACCTTCTTGGATGACTATTGATAGATCAGATTAAAGCACTTCCAATTTGTAGGCTTTGATCCAGTTAAATATTCCTAAAGAATGCTTAGATTCACAGGCTGGGAATAAGAGTTTTTTAACTATAGTCATTTAATCGTGCTTTTAATTAGATGCTAACTCTTTTATTTTTGAAACAACAGAATTAATAACTACTTAGAGTGAAAGCACATCTATTTTTAATTACTTAAAATAATCTGGTTATATTGATGGAATAAATTGTGCTACTAACTTTTTTGATTCTACCATTAAAAAATATATAGATCTAACTTTAGTATTTGCTACAAGTAATATAGATCCTAATAGGCTTGCTATCATTTAGTCATATGTGACTGAAACTTTTAAAAGAACTATTGTCTACAATTAATTTGTGTTTGATGTGGTGAGCTCTCTTTAATTTGATTAAAGTCAAAAAATTTAAATGATTTAAGCTATTTAGAAAGACATTACTGTGAGTTTAGCTTTTTAAGACAGCTCTTAATATAATTTTATTTAGAAAACATACCCAAATTTAGTTATGTATTTTAATGATTAACTGACTGTGATGAAAATAGAAGGGGATTTGAGCTATGTAAATCAAGCTTTAAGCAATGGAATTCTCTACTTCGATAAAAGCAAATTTAGTAATTAAACTTACACTTCTTTAAAAGAAATTTAGGTTGCAATTAGTGATAATTTTAATTATAATTTAAACTTAAATTTGAATGTAGAAAGCGAAGTAAAATTTTTGAAACTCAAATCAGATATTGTCACTCAAAAAACATTATAAGATCAAATGAATAAGTAAGGAACAGATTTAACAATTGAAGAATCTTTTATGATTTAATTTGATATTGCTTCATTTATTGATCCAGATTAAATTCCTTTATCTTATTAATTCTAATAGTAAATAAGTGGTTAATTTGTGCCTATATCTTCAGATTCATTTATCAAATGTGATAATGTCAACCTTCGCTTAGTAGGTAGTCCTCCTTCTAGCTACTTATTCTAAACAATCTATTTGAGACTACAAGTAACTAATGGTTATACAATAAAATATGATTATTTTTATATTAACATAAACAGAATGCCTTTTAGCTATGTTTTGAATATTCTAATTTAAGTGCTTGGTCCTATAGCTTTTGCCTTTGGTTTGTATAAAAAAAGAGCATCATTTATGAATCTTTATTTTAAAAATCAAACTATGTACTCTACAGAAACAGCCTATGTGAATTAAATCTACAGGAAAAAAATACTTATTTTAGATCAAGATTATGAAATCGCTTATTTATTTTTATAGAAATTTCTGAAGTAATCTGGTAAAAATTTGAATTAAGGTGCTAATAAATTAAGAAAGTCAATTTTGAACGTTGAAAGTGCAAAGAGTGAAAAAATAATAAATATTTAACAAAGTATTTAAACTTAAGAAAAATATAAATAAGTAGAAGGAGATTTATGCAAGGTAGCTTAATAGTAAGAATTAGCAGAAACGCCATCAAATAATATTAATATTTTAGGAGTAAATAAAAATAGATAATTTGTAAGTAATAATTTAGTAAATTAAGATGAATCATTTAGCTACAGCAAGAAGTAAATAAATGAAACAGTCTAATCTTAATTTAGCTCACAGATTGTTTAAAAGGAAACATAAAGTAAATAAAACAGTAAAATCAAATAACAGTCAAAGCTTAAAAAGATGTTTAAGGATAAGTATGAAAGAAGATATAGTATTTAATAATAAGAGATTAGACAGAAAAAACAATCAATAGATTTAGTTTCATAAAGTGGCATTTTTAGAAATGCAGAGAATAAAAACTACTTATTAAATAAATATACAATTTAGGCAGAAGATGGCACATTCTAAATGAGCAATTTATTTAATTAAATGGTTGAATAAAAATTAATAATTTAGTATGAATTATTGGACCATAAAATTGAAGATTATGTTATAGATTTACAAAATGAAGACTCAAGATTTTATTAATGCCTAAAAGCAAATGTCTTAAGACACTTATTGGAAAATGAAAAGAAAACTCTCAGTATTTACTAATTTCTTAAAAAATATTCTTTAGAAACTGGAAACTACCTATAAAATGACTGGTATAAATAATATGTTCAAATTATAGCCACAAATGACTTAGATCAATATGGTGTTCATGTACCTTTTTCAAAGACAACATTAATAGAAGATGAGATTTTTAAAGTGCTAAAAGACCTTGAAATTATTCCTAAAAACTTAGATCTTGAGAACTATCAGCTTAGCTATCTCTAATCAATTGATATCAATCCTTACTTGCTTAAAGAGGGTAAAACTAAGACTTCTTTATTAAAAGCATTAAAATTGAAATAATAAATCATTTTTATATTTCTTTTTAGCAAATTAAGCATTCTTTTCTTAGAAATAAATTTATTACTTTTATCAAAAATAAAACACTTTAAAAAAATAAATTTATTTTTTTTATATTTAATAATTTTATCTATTTTTTAATTAAACTTTGAATTAATTCTTAACACAAAAATAATATTTTTAATTTATTATTTGTTTTAATACAGTTTTGTTTGCTGATGCTCTTGGATTAAATTTCATTAGCTCAAAAGCAATCATAAAATGTTGTGGAGAATCTATTCATTTGGAGAAAAACTAACTTGTTTCTGTGGAGGCGTTTGAAAAAATAGAAGATGGTGTTTGCCTATGCTTAAGGAAACTATTTAATTTGTAATACAAAACTCTTCCAATATCTAAATACATTTCTCTACCTAGTTGGATGTCTTATGAATTTAAAAATGGCGTTGTAATTTTGGAGGGCATTCCAACAAAATCTGATGTTAATAGCTTTTTAATTAGAGTTTATGATTAAACACGATTTGTATCTTACCAATTTCATTTGAATGTTGTTGGAGACTCTAGACCTAGAGATGAAGTAGAAGTTCCTTTATTAGAAGATTAAGTAAAAGAAAGTAATTTTATTAAAGAAAGTGATGCAAGACTACAATTGTAAAGTCTAAAAGAAAATATGAAATCAATTTAACTAGGAAATAATATCATAAATAACTCAAAAGGAAATTAACTTTAAATGTCTTCAAGAAAATAATAAAATATTGTTGATCTCTTTTCCATTAAAAACTCACCAAACTAAACATAAAATTAATTAAAAAACGAATAAGAGGAAAATGTAGATGAAATAGAAGAAAAAGCTTATACAGGAATTAGATCAATGACTGAATATGATTAAGAATTAACATCTCCTCCTATTTTTCCTCTGGGTCCAGGTATTATGAGAAACAGTCCTTTATTAAGCTTTAAATTAAATACATAAATTCACGATATTTAATTATAAGAATAGTTTGATAAGTAAAAGGATTCTGAAAGAGACGAATTATAATCTAAATTTTAATATGAAAAATAATTAAAAAAGGAGCTTTATGATTATACTAACCAATCAATAAATAAATAATAACCAAATTAAAATTAGATTTGAAAAAAAAAAAACATACAAATAAAAATATATAATTTTTTCTTATTTTTTTAATTGTTTTTACATATTAAATGTAAACTTCAAATATTTTAATACTGCTGCTAAATTTAGCTATTATTTTTTTTTGATTATTCTTATTGATTTATATTTATTGAGCTTTATAAAAAATATTATATATTGTACTGTTTTTCAAGACTACATATTGCTATTCTCTGATAATTATTTCTGTAGTAGTGTAGTTAAACATTTTTTATTTATTTTGTTTATTTGTTCAGGTTCGAAACCTATAGTTACTTAGATAGATATATTTTTTTATTATTTTAAATTTTCTTTAAATTTATAAAATAATATTTATTTATTATTCTACTAAATATTTATTAATTTCCTACTTAGAGAAATAATAATTAAAGGATAACAATAATAATATAAATATTTAAAAGACACTATGAACTAGTGATAAATATTTTTTAAATAGCAGAATGTAATAAGTACAGTAATTATAAAAGAGAGATATGCATTTTTATAACAAATAAATCATATTAGTTATTAGATATCTTAAATTTTAAATACAAAATCTAATAAATGATAAATTAAATATGATTGAAATTTATCATAATAATAAGTGTTCATATACTAGTCTATTTAGTTTAAGAATCTTCCTTCTAAATTTTAATTTTGATTCACCGCTATAACTATTGAAGCTTTTATAAAAATTTTGTTTAAATTTAGTTTATAAAAGCAAGTAATAATTAAATAGTAAGTTTTAAAGTTAAATTTAAATTAAAAAATAAAAAGCTAAAATAAATAAATAAACCAAAGTAAATTCATCTTAAAAAGTTAATACAGCAAATTTTTGCTTATTTACTAAACTTTGTTTATTTAGATAAAATAAAAAATAACAAAAGTAATTTTACTAAATAAAAAGCTTTAAAGTTAAAATATTTAAGCACTTTGCTAAGCCGGAACTTATAGTTAATAAACCTACATCATTAATTTAATTGTTTCTTTTAATTTATTGTATTAGATTAAATTCATTAAATAAATTGTAAAAAAGAATAAAAAAAAATTTTTAAATAAAAATGTTAATAAAGAAAATCATTTCTAAAATTAGTTAGAAAAGATTAAAATATTCTTAAGTAACTAAAACGTTGATAGTTATAAATTTTTACTCGAGACTGAGTATCAAATTTGATATATTTGGGCATTTTTCTAAAGCTTAAGTTAACTCTGATAGACCTTTTGTGCCAATTTAATTTTCACTATAAATATTTTTTTTTTGTTTTATAATCAATTACAATTATTTTTTTGATCATAAAATATTTAATATATTTAAAAAGTAAGTTATTAAAACTAATAATAATATTTGTTTCATAATAAGTTAAAATAATATTTATTTTTTACCTAAGCCCTAAATGTAAAGTTGAGAGATTTATGAATTTAACTAAATTAGAACTTAAGAGTGATAAACCTGTATCATCAATTTAATTATAACTTAATTCATTATAAATTTTTCAGTTAATTAAAATTACAAATAAGTGGATGATTGATTAATAATTTAAGCTTTTGTATGAATTGAGCAAGATTGTAAGTTTAAAAAATAAATTAAATATTAATATATATATGTAAATTAATTTAGAAACAATTGTAAAAACAACTCCAAATTTATTTTCTATTTATTTATTTATAATTGTAGAATATTTTTGTTGTAAATACATTAAAATTGTTGTTGATATTTATTTTATTTTTAATTAATGCTTGTCTGTTTTTATTTATACTTATTTTTGATAGATAAACATTCTAGAGAAAGTTAACAATCTATAAAATAATTAATTTTTACGATAGATCAAGTTCCAAATTCTAGAGATAAGTGTTGTTTGCTAAAGTAGAACATAAATTAAATGCCCCTTCTGATCCAATTTAATTACCACTTTTCAAATATTTAACAAAAATTAATTACTAAAAAGTAAGTTAGTAGAAATAAAAAAAAATAGATGCTAAAACTGAAATTAAATAAAAAAATTTCAAATGAAATTAAAAAATAATAAAGCTAGAAGTAAAAATTGACTATAAATTGAATTATGATATACTGTAATCCTCCTTAATTAATACCAGTATTTAAAATTGAAAAAGTTTGAAAAAATTAACATCACTTTTTCAAAACTTAAAATCTAGATAGATCTTAAGATTAATTAATATATGAAAAGTTACAGTAATATTAAATAAAATTTTTGTTACTAGAGTTGCAGTTTTAAATTTTTGAGATTACAGCAACTTGCTAAAGATGAACCTAATTCTAAAGCTATTTTTGGACTAATTTAGCTCTCTCTTTAAATAATTTTAAAAGAGTTTTAATATTTTGAAATAAATATAATCAGAAAAGAAAAACATTTGAAGAAAAATAAATAGATTAAATTTGATGTTAATATTACATACAAAAAGTAAAAATTCAAAAGTGTTGTTTTTATAAAAGTACAAAAATTTATACTCTAAATAGAGTTCTAAAGTTGATAAATTGCTAAACTATGCTAGAGCTTAACAAAAATCTAATCCATCTTCCTCACCAAAATTAAGGCTTTTATAAAATTTAAATAAATTTAAGTGAATTAAATAAATTTGAAAAACTTTAATTTTTATATTTCATAAAGATAAATATGAAATATTCTTCAATAAAATATATTTACATGAGATATAATTTCAAATTTGACAGTTTAATGCATTTTGCTAAAGCAGAAACTAAGTCTGAGGCACCCTTTATTCCTATTTTATTGTTGCTTTTAATATATTTAGTTGAGATTAAATCAAAATTATATTGCTAAAGTTTTTATTTCATTATCAAAAATAATTTTTAGTTTTAAATAATTAATAAAAATTAAATTGATTATTTATTAATTCCCTACTTTAAAACAAAAAAAAGAAAGAAAGAATGAATGAAACTATTTTTTTATTGTTTTTCAAATAAATTTAATTGCTGAAATAACAATTTTAAAATACTAAAGTAAATAAGGTATTTTTACTAAAGATAAAGCACCAAATCAGTGAGATTACAGAGTTTAACTAATTCTAAACCTAAATTTAATGCACTAATATCTCCAATTAAATTTTAACTTTAATAGTTAAAAAAATAAATCAATAAATATGAAAAAAGAGTAAAAAATAAAATTAAAATAAAAAAAAACTATTTACCCCAAGTATAAATATAATTTTGAGAGGTTAATGCATTTTCCTAAAGCAGAGCTTATGGCTTACAAATTATAATCCTCAATTTAATTATTGCTTTTTAAATATTTGATATAACTTTAACTTTCTTACTTATCATATTTTTAAACTAAGTAAAATAGATTCAAATAAAAAATAGTTCTTACCTATTGATTTTTTGAAATGAAAAATAAAGTTAAATGAAATTAAATAAAAATAAAAAAGCAATTTTTACTTTAATATCAGTTATAAAATAGAGAGATTAGTGCATTTTGCTAAACCAGAACCTGCATCAGATATCCATTCTTTACTAGTATTGATTTTATCTCTATTTAATTTTTTTTCAAATAATTTGACTAAAAAAATAAAAAGAAGTGGTAGGTAAAATATCGAAGAATAAAATTTTTAATTATAAAACAAAAGAAAAGTTGAAAATAAACTTAAATTAAAAAATTAAAATAATTTTTAGCACTTTCTTAATTTTCTTCAAATTAAATTATAATTATTTAAAAAAAATTAATTAATATATAAATAATAATAATTTTTACGTTAAAACAATTTCAGTAATGGTGAGCTAAGAAAAATCAGTGCTTAAAAACTTTTTATTGGATATAATAAAATTATGAAGCAATTAATCATAAAATAAATTACATCATTTAATTTATAAAATTTATTTTAAAACTTCATTTCTATTTTTTTTTTTGGTATTATTAAATTGATTACAAATTTTTTAGAAAATACGAAGAAAATTTTATTTGTTTTTAAATTATTTATTATCATATTTCTTAATTAATATAAATGTTAAATGTAATTTAAGCTAATATACATAATTAAACTAATAAATATTTATCAAATACTTAAATTTACTTTAATAATAAAAAAAAAGCTAGTAAGATAATAAGATAATAAGATAAAAATAAGAGATTAAACATTATATTCAAAACAAAAAGATAAAAAAATTATAGAAACTATGTTAAAATATGGATTCATAACTGATTTAGATAATCAATCAAATTTAAAAGGTATAATAAATAATTTAGCTATTTCTTAAGTAAGTAAAAATTTGCTCAAAATTTAATAAATATCAAAAATATTTTTTTTTTAAATTACATTATTTATAAATTGCAAATTAAATTATGTATCATTCAATTTTAAATCATTAAATTTAAATTATTTAAAAAAATTTTAACAAATATTACATAATTATTTGTTCAAAATTAAGTTATTAAATTTACTCAATTCGTTAAAAACAAACCTTTACTTTTAAATTTATTTTTTTAATTAAGTAATAATTATTTTATTTAAATTTAACTTTTAATTAATATTGATGAAAATATTTGTTTTTTATCCTCTTTTAATTTCCTCTCTTAAGTATACGAGATTATTGATTGAAATTAATTAGAGGAAAAAATTTTTATTAATTAATACAGACACATGAAACAAATATAAATTTTAATATATTTAATTCTTATTTTTTGACACAAATCTTTACAACCTATAATATTAAATATCATAAAATAAATATATAAATAATATTTAGCAAATAATGAGCACTTTTAGCATAGAAAGGTGATTACTTACTTACTTACTTTCTTACTTGAAATAAAAAATAGATATTTGAATAAATATTTTTCATATTTAAATTAACTTAATTTGATTTAATTTGTCTTAAAATTAATTTTAAGGAAAGAAGTAACTAACTTTTCTTTTTTATGTATTTAATCATTATTAAATAAAATAACTTAATTAATGATTGGGGATTTTATTACAAATTGATTTCATGTATTTTTTCAAACGGGTGGGAAATAATTATTTATTTCCTATATTATCTAAATTAAATTTTTGAGATCTTCAGAAAATCTAATTACTTACATTTACACCATAATTTATCAATATTATTTTTTTGTATTTTTTACTTAGTAAACAATGAGTTTTTTCTAGTACTGTAAGCTCTCATTAATCAAGGTTCTCAAAATTTTATTTTAAGAGAGCATAAATTTAAGAAGGTAAGGATGTATTAATTAATGAGAGTTTAGAATTTATTAATACATTTTTCAATTTGATAAGCAAGAAAAGTATTCTATAGTTTTCTTTAAGAAATATCTATTTATTTAAGTCGATTAAATAAAAACAAATAATTTATTTTAGATATTTTTTCCATCCAAAGATTTCTTTTGCAAAATTCGCTACTTTTATTAATCTATCAAAGAGAAGAACAATTGATAAAATTGTAAGTAAGTAAGTTAATAAATAAATGAGTAAATTATATTTTAGAAAGTATAAAATAGAGCAAATAATTACAAAAGAATATTCAAAAAAATAATAAAATAACATTTTTTTAAACTTTATTAATTCTATACTTAATTTTAAAAAATAATTTAAAAAGTAAGTTATAACTTTAGACAAATTATTATTAAATTTTTTTATATATTCTATTTTTTTAGATGTTTATTAAGAGTTTAAAAAAACTTTTTTTATTTTTTATATCTAGCAAGCTAGATAGATTATCAGTTTGTCAATTGATAGAGTGTTTATTTGGATATTAACTCCTTTTTAAGTAAGCGCTCATGAGCACTTATCTTAAATAAATTCAATCTAACTGTATAGTTATAGTTTGGAAATTTAATTAATGCTTAATAAAAGAAATTAATGCGCAAATAGATTTTTAGTAATTTTTTAATTTCTTTTTTTTAATTATTTAGTTTATTATTATTTCTGATAATCTTGAGATTTACATTAATTTATTATTTTTATGAGGCTATAAACACACTCAGAAATTATTAATTCATTAATAAGCATTACAGATATCATTATTTAGTGATTTAATTAGATTTTCGCAAGAGCGTTTTACATCTTAAAATTGTAACAAAAATTAAATTTTTTTATAGATAAGGAATATTAATTAAGTAGGTTAAATTGGATTTTTAATAATTTCTTCTCTATTCTAAACAATAATTTATAGGTGTAACAAGAGTCATTAGAAGTTTATAAAGTAATTTTTGCTCTTGAGACAGATATATAAATACTTTTTCATTACCTTTAGCCTATTAATTTGAATAATTATCTTGAGTTAGGACAAATTTACATTCTGAATCTAAATTAATTATATTTTATAGTTATGTTTAAGTGTAATCATAATTAAAAATAAATAAAAGAGCTTAAATCTAAATATAATTTAGTGAAAATTATTACAATTTGTTTATTGACTATCTCATCCTTAAATTGTTTTCATTTCAATTAATGCCGATTAAATTTCTAAAGAATTCATTAGGCTTAAAAATTGAATTTTTACCATCAAATTCATGGCTAGAAAAATAAAAGAATCATAATTAAAAAAAAAATATTTAATCAAAACGCTTGAAGTTAAAATTTGGGTGGAATTTGCAAACAAAAAAATTTATATGGCAAGATTTTTTAAGTTGCTATGCTTTAATTGAAAATAGCAAACAGTCTCTAATTAATTATTAGTACTCACTTTTTTATTCATTATCTGAAAAATTTTTATTGAAGTACGTAGTTAGTTGACAATTTAGTTATTTAAGTTAATTATTTAGTTAATTAGCTCTTTAAATTGTTTGTTTTTTGTTGCTTAGCTAGATATTTAGATAGCAAACCTACATAAAATATGCTCAATAGATGAATCAAAAGTATATCTATAAATCGAAATTATTTTACTAAATTATTAAAAATGGTTTTATACTTGTTAAAAAATGTTGTGTTGCATTCATTTTTTTAGATTTTTAATAAATGGAAAAAAAAAATGAAAAGTCATTAGATATAATTTAATAAATAAGCTTTTAAGAATGAACTTTATGAGTTTGTAATATTTTTTTCAAAAAGTGTAATTTAATCTGAAATTAAATATAAATAAATAAATTAAAAAAAATCAACTATAAAAACAACAGTAATAAATATCAGCGAGAAATGCATTAATCAAATACTTAAGAGGAAATAATAATGAATAATGTACTCTACTTAGCTAAGAAGAATAAAAAATCTATACAAAGTGAAAGAAATTTACTAAATAAATGGTTCTAAGATTCTATTAAAAGTTATATTTTGGAATCTATTGCCTCTCCTTTGATCTATTAACATCTTAATTTAAAATCTTCCGCTTAAGTGAGAGCTTTCATCCACAAGCAGACAGACAAAAATAAACCTAAATATATGTCAATAGTTGAATAATATTTTATCTGTATCAACCAAAGCAACTAAAAAGACAGCTTTTTATAAAATATTAACAAAATTCTTATCGATCCAGTTGATATTACTCAAATAAAAACACACGAGTAAAATTACATCACTAACAAAACTGTAAGAAAGCAATTCGTGTGTCTTCTAATCCTAAAGTACTTTGAAATTTTTGGATAGCTAGAAATTCCTTCATTTTATGAATTATGGAATATCTGCTTCCCATAAGCAATTCAAATTAAAAAAAAACGCTCAAAATTTGACAAATATCTTGAAAGAAATATGCTAAAAAGTGATATTAAAAATCAAGCGGAATTAAATAACTCACTTTAAAATTCTTCTGACTTTTTTAATAATTAAACTTCATTTGATTTTTCTACCAGCTAAAATCACTCAAATTAAAAAGAATTACCTTCAGATTTTCCTTCTTCACAAATAAATAACTTTGATTAATAAAATCTACAATTATCTGAAGAAGAATTAACCTATCAATAAGTCCTCTATTCTTAGAAGTAGCCTATTAACAATAGAATATTTGAAGAGGATAGCTACTAATAAGAACCCATGAGTCATTTTCTCAATTTTCATTATAGCTATCATAATTTTGATTAAGAGGAGGAGATATTGTATAATTAAAATATATGATAATAAAACTATTAAGAAAACAAAGAAAGGATAAATATGATTTTTATATTAATAAAAAAATAATTAATTTACCATCCAAAAACCAAAATTAATATAAAATTATCACATATCAACTAATTTGAACAAAATAATTGACTAAAATCATCATCAAATTATATATTTTATTAACTTATTCTTTATCAAAACTAAATCTGCAACAATTAAAAAAATATTAAAAACCTTAATCATTATAACAAATAAAATAATTAAAATATATTAAAAGTTATATCTATTTTATAGCAAAGTAAAATATACCAAATTTTAATTTATCTGATCATATAAAAATTTAATTTATTCAATCTTAAAATATGCAAAAACTTATAAAACTCAAATTAAGTAAGTTCGTAGCTAATTAGAAAAAATTATTAAAATGATACACAAGAATCTTAATCTATCAATCAATTGATTGGTAAGCTTTGTTAGTTAGCAATATACTTACTCTTTTTTTTGTTTCTTTTAATTCTAATAAAAAATATCAAAGCTTTTAATTTCAAAGTAAAGTATAATACTTTGTAATATTAAACAATAATCATCGATATATTTTTATTAGCGATGATTTAAATAATATTTATAATCTAAGGTTATATATAAAATAAATATTTTTTTTTTTGATATCTTAAATTAAAATAAAATTTGGCAAGAGGAAACTTTTTTTTCCACGTTATCTAAAAAATACCCCTCCATTCTGAATTCTCTAAGAATTGAAATTCCAGTTCCTATTTTTATTAGCTTACTTACCTAAAAATTTATTTATATATTGGTTAGTTAATTTTAAATAATTAATACGAATAATATTAATTGGGAAGGAAGTAAGGAAGATGATGTATAAAAGCCAAATATACAGAATGTAAGTAGCTATTTGTTAGCGTTTTAAATACCTAAAATACCTTTGATTGAAAATTCTAGCAAATACAAAAGGGATATCTTAAAATTAATTTTTAAAATGCGAAATAGTTATTTTATTTTTGATACTAAATTATTTAATATATCAAAAAAGATATATACCCATTTATTTATTAATATTAATTATATTTTTATTTTTTCTAGATTATTAAAAAAGATCAAACAAAATTAGTATCAGATTTATTAATAATTGAATGATTTTCAAATTAATTCTTCTAAAATTGCTCTAAGCTATTCTTCCTTTTTTTGGTTGATTTTAAATAATTTCTTTAACTTTTTTAAATAATCGTTAACAAAGCGTGCCTTTTTATGAAATAAAAAATATTTTAAAGTTTAGTTTCGATGTGAATTTAGTTAGTTAGAGTTTTTAGGATTAAGTATTAAAAATTTATGAAAGTATTTCAACCAAGTATTATTATTAAGATGACAACTTATAAAAAGCTTAAAGACTTGAAAATAAATGGATTAAAAAAGAAAGTGTTTTGAATTAGCATGAAGAATATTCCATTTTTGATTTTTGCTAAAAATATTTAAATATCTAGTTGTATATTATTATAAAATTCTTGTAATAATAAGGAGCGGCTAAATTTTAGGAGGATATTTTTAACCATAAAACACTTAAATATGACTGCTTCTTTTAAAAAAGCAAAATTTATTATTTATAGCATCATCACAAAAAATAAATACTTATCTACATAAATTCACATTATTAGGCTTCTTAGTTATATATTTCATTAAATCTAAGAATAAATTTAAAATATATATATATTTAATATAAAATATTATAAGATTGCTAATCATATTATCTTTAAACTAAACTCATCTTATATTTAAGTCAGCTTATTTATAAATAATGTTTGTTATTTTCTTTTTATGAATTAAATATTTTATAAAGTAAGAGCCTTCTTGCGGTAAGCAAATAAAAAAGGCATATGAAGGAAGAACAATAGCTTAAAATTACAAAAATTTTGGTTCAAAGGATTTAAAACAAAAATAGACTCATATAATGAGGCATGCAGGAATGACATAATGGATCTTGTGTAAAGTATAAAAATTTATCAATCAAAAGGTATTTTGGAAAGCTAATTAGATAGAATATTGAATTCACTTAGATCTATTGCTTCTCTTTATCTTTTATAAACTATTTGATATATATTTGATAATAAAATGAGTTTATTTAGCAATTTTAATTTCCTATATCCATCACATTATTGGGTTCTAAAATACTATGGATGGATGGATTATTTTTTGCTAATTTGCAAAGCCAATTATAATTGAAAAACTCAGCTAAATAAAAAGTTGGGTTGAACATGCGAAGTAAATATGATGATTAAGAATATAAATTCAGTAGCTTAAACATTTAGATATCTAAAACTATTGTAGTAACTTTTTTTAAGGGACAGCAATTCTATTATGCTATATGTTGTGTTGTGTGTATTGACTTTTTAATTAAATATAGCACTAAATTTTAAAGAAGTAAATAATTAATATAAAAACTCAAATTTTCTTTTACTTTGTTTGTTTACGAAATTATTAAAAATTGATCAAATCATTATTTAAATTTTAGATTTATTTTTTACATTTTATCTTCTAAATTTGTTTATGAGATAATTAATAACTTTATCAATTTTATTAGAAAGCACCTCTCTTTACTTTTTATCATATTTGAATGTATTTTAAAATTTTTCTAATGATTAGTTTAAATAATTTGCTTTTATTAATTTGCTTTTATTAAACTCAAAGAAACAAATTTCATTATTTTTACACTTTACAGTAATATGATTTTAATTTTATAAATACTAAATTATTTTATTTTTAAGAACCTAAATTATAATATACTTTCAATGTTTACTTATATTTTAGATCATTATTTTTTAAATTAAATTAGAAAAAAAAATTATTTTTAAATTTTAATACCTATGAATCTATGCTTGATTAAATTAAAATTATCATTCTTTCATTTTCATAAGTCGTTAAAGAAAATCTAAAAAGTGTTTATTTTTTCTAAAATTATTGAATTTAAAATATTTTTTAGAAATTTCAATAATTTATGGCGTTCTACTTTAGAAAAAGAGAGATTTGAATGCACTTTTAATTCAAGTTTGTTTTAATCTATCCGCGAATATGGTAATAATTTAGCTTGAATCGTACTTATACATTATACCGCTTTGATGAAAAATCCAATTAGATAAAGAGTTAGTTATTAAATTTCAAATTATGATTAGATTACATTCTTAATTTAATAAATTTCTGTTTTAAAATTTCTGATTACAGTCAAAAACTAAATTAATATTTTAAATTTAAGGTAAATAAATAGTCACCCTATCATAAATTTTGCAAAATTTGGAATAAGCAAAAAATATTGAAAAATTTTAATTAAAATACTCAACTAATCTTATTTAATCTGAAAATGAGAAATCTTACTTATTTATATACACCCTTAAACAAAATATTTAATTAAATCGCTTGATTTTAATCTACATATTTATAACCACAAGTCATAAGAGAGAAAAATATTCTTTTTGTATGGAATTTAAATATAAAGGCTCAAAACTAAAATTATTTTTAGGAGTAGCAAGCGATTTTAATGTGTTCATTAATGAACATATTATAACTTTAAAAATATTTACTTTACATTAAAATTAAAAAAAATCACTTTGCTCTTAAAAAGATCTTTATTGAATGCAAGAATATCTTAGAAAATTCCTCTTAAGCTTTAAAGTCTATCTAGGATATTTCAAAAAAGGAATTTGTTTTTTTTACCAAGTGAATAATGGTCTTATTTATGCATAAGCAAACAAATAACTTATTAAAGCAGTGATCTATCATTTAGTAGTACTAATTTTATGATTATTTTAACAAAGCAATATAGTTTTCATGTATATTTTATTTTTTTTTACTTGCGATAATTTTATTTCTTCAATGCGAAATGTGATTCTACTTAATTAGGATATTTTCTTGGAATATTATGCTTAAGATATTAGATACATCTAAATATTATGTACTGTGTTGGTATTAGCCTCTTAGTTATTGAATTTGGTTTTAAAATTATTTGAAAACAATGTAAATAAAAATTAAAAAATATCTAAAATTTATCTCATTTTGTAATTATTTTAGCTACATTTAAAATAATATTAACACACCATCTACTTAATAAGAATTAAAGTAGGTTAAAGATACTCGATTAATTCATAATTCATCATTTATAAGTGTATTTATACTTAGCTTTCTTCAATCTATTCTTTAGTCTATAGCCTTAGAAATCTATCACTTACTACATAGATCTTTATATCAAAAAAATCTTCTTAAGCATTGAGCTTTTAAATATTTAGTTAAAGTTTTATAGTCATCTAAGAAAAATAAACACTTGGTTTAATGGAATTTCTAATCATCCTTATTCATTCTTTTATATTAATCAAAACAGAAAATAAAATTTGAGATTCTGTGCGTGTTTAGAGATAGATATAAAGTTTTAAATAACTCAAATAAATAGTAGGTAATAATAAATAATCCTCTTTTATCTTAGCCTTACATAAAGTCTTTAAAATTTTACTCGCAATAGAACGCTTAGAAATATTTGATTTATCCTAATATGGAGCCATTCACTAAAAAGTAAAATTAATACGATGCATTTTGCTGCTCTTAAATATATAAAAATAAAAAGTAAATCTCTAAGTGAGAAATTGAATTTTTTAAACTCTTGTTTTTCTTTAGCTTGTTGAAATATTTAAATAGAAAAAAAGAAGAGCGTATTTATTTATATTTCAATTGCAAATTAATCTAAAATTGCTACTTAAAGTACTATCTATTAATCAAAAAATACATAATAAAACTGAATAAAAATAATATTTTCCTTAAAAAATAAAATTAATTTTGTGATTAAACAGTACTACCTACTATTTAGATATCAATAAGTAATAACCAATTTGTTAATATAGCTCTAATTAATTTAAAGTAGTTTTCACAATATTTTAAAAGAAGTATCAAAAAATATTAAATTCAAAAGGCCTTCTATATTTTATAATAAATTAAATTTGCTAATTTTATTATATGTAATTATTTAATAACACGAAGAAAATTGTATCTACCAAATACTATTCATTATTTTTATAATGTTTTCTTTTTTAATGATTGCTGAATTTTTAAAGGTACCCAGTTTAACAGGTTTTACTGTAGCTTAAAAATACTTTAAAAGTTATTTGTTGTATTTTATAAAAGCTTGTTTTATTAAATATGAAATTCTGTAATCTAATTAATTATGTTTGATTTAAAAAAAAAAAACAAATAAAAATTTTAGTAGCTATTTATTTATTTCAGTATTACAATTTAAAATAATGTAATATGCTCTATATCTTTATTTATAAATTTTCCTCATTATCAATTTGTTTGGCTCATAAAGTATAACAAATTTATTAATTTTTACATTCAGGAATTACTTTAACGGGTAAGAAGTGAATGATTTCTTTTATTTTACGGGAAATTAAAAAGAAGTAAACAAAAAAGCATTCTCGATCTTATGCGAAAACTAATTAAAAAATAAATAAATTATCTCTAAAATTCAATAAAAACATTACCAACTAACTCTTGATTTTTTCTAATTAAAAAATTTCTGAAACAAAATTTTCTTTTAACTCAATCATCTTTAATAAATTAAACATTTTTATTCTATCAAATTTATTTAATTGGAAAAAGATGATTTTTTTTTTTCAGCAATCTTCCTTTTTAACAGATAGCTTGGTGCATAAGGATTTCTATTAAATAATAAATTTGGCTTAACAGTAATGTTTAACTTAATAAAAAATGAACTTATTAAAAGTACTAAAATAAATCAAGAAGGACATAAAGTTTTTCGTTTAACAAATATCCTGTAATTATTGATTATTTTAAAAAGTCATAAATATAATTATTGCCATATATATTTTACTTTCATATTAACTAAATGATCTTTTTATTTTTCTTTCTTATTAGTTTGATTATTGGTAAAATTTTGATGCCGAATGTTAATAAATTTTTAGATAGGCTCAATTTAAAAATAAATAAGACTAGCGCATATATGTTTATTTACCTCTAATTACATTAAATTTAATATTTTAATGAGAGACTTATAGTTAAACTTGCATTATTTTTTATTTTTATTAATTTTGCATAGAGGCTTGAGCTAATTAAAGATTTTTGATATGTGTTTTAAATAAATATAAATTTTCTAAGATGGAAGCAATCAAATTACATATAGCTAGTTTAAGTATTATATGAAATCTATATGATTTTTAAATGTAAAAGAAAGTTAGATATAGCTTCAAATAGAAATATAAACCACACAATAAAAGAATGTTTGTTGAAGTAAAAAATTTAGAGAAGAGAAAGATTAGCTAGCGTTTTAAAACGATGGAATGCAATTTAAAGCCTGTAAATTAAGATCATTGAATTTCTTTAATTGATCTTAAGGGGTAAATAGATAAATTTCTTTTATGGAATAATTTTTTTTCTTAATATTTTGTATCTTTAATATTAGTTAAGTAATCTAAATAAATAACGAGTTTTGATTTTTATATTAAATATTTTAAATTAACTTAAATAATTTTAAGATAATTTAAATGTATAAATTTTATAATTGGGAAATTTTATAATCTAGTTTGCTTTCTTCTTTAATTTGTAATACTTCTTCAAAGCTTAAGCAAAATTAAATTGGATATTTATGAAATGGTCGATTATTTAGTTTGATTAATTTTTGAGATAGCTTAACATCAAAATAAGTGTAATATTGATTGACTATTTTATAAAAAACACTTTTGAGAAGTTTTTCAATAGATTATGAGTTCATGGTCAAATTTTGATCTCAATATTATTTAATTTAAAATTAATCTGAATGTAATTTTACAATTAATACCTTATTTTCTTAATCATATTTTATCAAAAATTAGTAAACAGCAATATATTATAATAATTAATCAAAAAAGTAAAAATTCAAACAAAAGAAAGAAAGAAAAATACAAAACAAATAGATTCTTAAATAATTAATCATTCTTTTTATTTTGTTTGATTTCAGCAATCATGAAATTTTCAATGTGATTTAATTTTTCTGTACATATTTATTTTCATTTTTTCTTAAGCATTTTAATCAAATTAACTTTTTTAAATATACTATGAAGGTCTAAAAAGCAAAATCATTTTATATTCAGTTTTACAGCTTTAATTTTTTTAGAGGTGAAATAGAAAATACAAAATATCTTTCTTTCTATTTACATATTTTACATGGTTTTAAGAGCGATAAAATTTGATAAATTTGTAAACATTTAATCAAAATGTATTTCATCGGAATTTAATTTACATCAAAAGAGTATGTTTCTTTTGTAAAATTGTATGTATTTTACTGTATTTTAAGACAAACTATTTTCGTTTAATCAAGTAAATTACTAATATTAATTAATAATAAAATGAGTATAACGAAGTGATATACACCATGAGGAATTGCGTCAGCGTTTAATCAATAATAATTTATTGGATTATATATTTGCTAGTAGATTAATAATTTCAAAATAATTTATGAAATGGAGCAACTCTCAAAATAAGATGGATATTTATTAAATAATATTAACACAATTAGTGCCTCTTTATAAATTAATTTAGTTTATTTTACATTAAACTATTCATTTGCATATTTAATTAAGTGTAAAAGTTTGTATTTAAGTTATTTTTACCTCATAAGTGATTTTGTATTACACATTTTGATTAGATAGCTCTTAAAAGCATATAAACAATTAATTAGATAAAAAGCAACAAAAAATAATCTCAAAAAATTACCAAAGAAATGAGCTAAATTAACTAAGATGAGTTGATTATTATGAAGAACGTTCTCTTTTTAGCTTAATCAAGCAAAAAAAGTTTATAAAGCTAAAGAAATTTACTAAATAAATGGTTTTAAGATTCTATTAAGAGCTATTTTATGGAGTCCCTTGCATCTTCCCTGATCGCTGATCATCTTAATTTAGAATCTGCATAAGCAGTTAAAGCTCTTATTCGCAATTAAATAGACTAAAATAAACCTAAATATATGGGAATCATTGATTAATATTTTAATTATATCAAAAAATACAACCAATAATACTCTTTTACAACAAAGCTTCAAGAGATTCTTTTAGAACCTATAGATATTACTAATTTGAGTGAAGATTGTTCTTACAATTGTATGAAAAAAGTTAGAAAATAATTTGTATCTTTTCTAATCTTAAAGTATTTTAATTTATATGGCCAACAAGAAATGTCATCTTTTTACGATCTTTGGAACATCTGCTTCCCCTAAGTTGTTTAAGAAAAAAAGAAACTTTCTAAATATGATAAAAAGAACAAAAGTAAAAGGTCATAAGCCAATCTTAAATAAAAGTTTGCTCAAAATGATGAAAATAATGAGTCTTTAAAAACGTCTTTAAACCTTTTAAATTGCAGTATCTCTGTTTCTCTTACTGATAGATCAGAAACGATTGGTTTATAAGTCCTCGAAATCCCACGGACAATAAGCAATTCAGACTCATATTAAGAATAGTAGTAAATCCAATTCCAAAGTAGCTGTAAGTATGAGCCTAGCTCTTAAAAGTAACCAATTAATAATGGTATCTTTGAAGAAGGCAGCTATTAAGAAGAATGTACTAACTATTTAGAGCAAAATTATAATTATTCTACCTTGTAATAAAATTAAGACTAATTTATTAACTCAATTCATAATTAAGCAAATCATTTGAATTATGAAGGTTAATAAGTTTTCCTCTAAGACTAATAAGAGTTTTTCTAAGATTAATAAGAATATTAATACTATTAATAGCATCAATTATATTAAAATGACTATTAATAAAGTTATTATCTTAATCATAATAATGATCTCTAACATATTAACGAAATTAATCATAATTGATAAATTATTACCAAAAGTCAAAAAATTATTCTTTTTCTAATTCTTACTTACTCTAAAAATAAAACTTAATATTTATTAAATATTATATAAAAAAATAAAATAATTAATTTAGTATAAAATTTTACTTTTATTTATGATAACATTTTTGAAAAATTAATTTATTTTGATTTAAATAATTGATTCATTTATTTTATAATGCTAAAAAACATTTTTAATAAAGCTTATATTTATATTTGATATTTTATGTAGTTGTAAATAATAATATCTTTAATAATAGTAAATACTGTAAAATGGAATTGAAGTTATAGAATACAATTAATGTTGAATGCTCTTAAAAATTACTATTAGTTTACTAACTATCCAAGCGCTCATCAAAATATTATCAGGTGCCTATTTGAGAATTTATGGTATTATTTATTAATTAATAAATTATATTACTTAAAAAATATTTGAAATAAAATGATAATAATTTGCTTAAGACATCAATAACAAATAAAACAGTTTTATAGTTAATCAAATACCTTATAAATCATAAATGGATTAGGAAAAACAAAATTTAATAATCACAATTTAAAATTTTATAAGACAATATTTAAATTATTTGTTTTCTAAGCTAAATATTAATAAACATTAATTTTGCAACCACAACATAAATAATTAACAAAGTTAAATATTAGAAATTCATTCATAATAATAATATAAGGATAAATAGCTGATTTTTAATTTTGAGATTAAAGAAATTCAGTCAGTCAGATTAATTTATGTATAATATTAAGTTAATAAAATAAAGGCTAATAAAGCTAACAGCAATATAAATGATCAAAATAAATATTAAATAGATTAGTTTGTAAAAGAAAAACCAACATTAATAATATTAAAATAGAAAAACATGCTTTCATAGAGACCGCATCTAATTAGATGATACTAATATGATGGAAATAAAATTATTTTTTTAATACAAAAAATAAACGGCAATGGTTTTTTTGTATAATTGAATAATAGCATAGAATAGCTTAATGGCTATGTAACTAAGAGTAAAAATGTTAATAGCAATAGCTTAAATCTAGAAATGTAAGTATAATTTTCCTGATTAATAAACATATAATATAGATTTGCTTTTGTTATTAAATAATTAGCCCATATTTAGTTAGCAAATTGAAGTTATAGATGTTAAAAATGAGAATGCTCATTTAGATTGATGGATAGCTTTTATTTGAATAAAAAAGATAAATGAATAATCTAGTCTAACGTCATCTCAAAGGTAAAAAAACTAATGATAAATACTATCCAAAAATGTATTTAAGCTTTATCATTAATTAAACCATTTTACTTTGTAATTATAATAACTAATGCAATATCTTTCTTTACATACTAAGATAGTAATTAATAATAATTTGAAGTCTGTCTGAAACTAATGATTAAATACATAAATGAAATAATAATTTAAATTATTTTTAACATTACACATATATTAATAACACTGTAGAATACTAGGTTCATGTAAATACAATGACTAAATGACAAAAATTATGGAATAGCTATGAAAAGATGTTTTATTTGCTAACATTGATTAATGTTGTAGATGGAAAAAACTCATAAAATGAATGACCACCAAAATAATAAGTATGAAAATGACACAGATTAGTCATCAGTTTTACAAATAATCAAAAGAAATCAGCATAGTAATCAATTATATATACTTCATAATTTTCTAACAGTAAAATTTCAAACAAAAATGGAGCTAAAAGATTCATTATCAATCAAAAAAAACAAAACTCTAAAAAGTAAAACTAAGAAAAAATAAGTATATGCTTTCTAAGCTATTTACCTTATTTACTATATAGTGATCTAGCTAACCTCTTAAATTTACCTCAAATACTCACCACTAACTGATACCCTTATAGGTCTTTAACTAAGCTAACTAGCTAGATAAAAATTTGGGAATGCTTAATATCTACAGGGAAGAAAATTTTTACTTAGGAGGTAATAAGGTAATCTTTTATAATAAATGTTAAGGAATTGAAACAATTAGAAATCAAATTTTTTGAATAGCTTATAAAGTTAACTAAACCTTGAAATATGCATTATAATTGTTATATAAATGTTTATATTAATATTTTTTATTGAATAACTAATATGGCAGAGTTAAAAATTTTTTTTACTGAGTTATGTATTTCGAATTAAAGTTTTTATCCTTTCTAAGTAGTGATTTTTCTTTGTATTTAAGATTTAGTGTAAAATAATGATATTAACCTTAAAGTTTTTTAAAATTAACTAACCAATTTTTGATTCATTTATTGATTTATATAATTATTCGAGCTTTTTTATTTTATGGATATATACGTAATATGAAAAGAAATTGTGGAATATGCAAAGTTGAAGATAAAATTGTAGCCTTTTAAAAATATGAATGCATTAAGCCAAGTAAACAGCACTTAATTGGTGTAGAATTATAGTGAACATAATTGTTTTGGCTCTAATAAAATAAAACTTTTACATTAAAATGAAAAAAATGATGGAAACTTTTTTTATTTTGAAATTAACTAACCAAATTCTTAATTATTTTCCTTGCAATATTTTTTCAAGTAGACTATTAGATAAATATTCTTAATATAGATTAAAAGAAAATACGTTTTACTAAAATAAAATTGTCATGAAATGTTGTTTATTTCTAAAATAATATTTGAAGAAGAAATGTTTTTTACTTTAAATTTTAATACTTTAAATACGAATATTTAAATTGCTTTTACAAAATAATTAAATAAAAAATTCTAAAGAAATATCTCATGTATGTTTAAATAATTTAAATTTTAAATAATACGAATCTTCATATACCAATAATCCATTTAATTGCTAAAGTGTTTTATAAATTATTGTAATAATATGAAAAGAAAAATATGAATGAGTTAAACCAAGTA